GGCCCGGGTGACCCTAAACAGGGCTGCAGGGCGACACTCTGAGGATGCAATAAGAGCGGAGAAATTTACTGCTCCTATATCCATTCAGTTGAGGGTGAATCAGGACTGCATTTTGGTTCCAGTTCCCTTTAGCTTTAAAGTAAATTAATTGATGCAAGCCCTTCTTCGTTAGCTAATAAACTTGTTTCATCCTCCTGTATTCAGATGATGTGACTGTTGTTTTTGCATTCCTACTAAGCACCAGAAGTCCCCCAGGGCCTGTGCCCCATTGTAGAGAAAATGGTCTTGTCAAAACAAAATTATTGTGTTCTCTAGAAATGCTGATACATCACCATTCCTGGAAAATTGATGGCTTCAGTAATCAACAGGTGAAGTCATTCAACATGATGGGATCAATATCCTAGAAAGAATAGAAAAGGTGGCATCCATGAAAGCCCAAAGTCTTGCAAGAACAGTTTTGCACTTTGTGAGAGACAACAGTAACAATCATATCCTGCCAGCAATTAATATCTGTAAAGTAAAAGTTATGAGTCTTCTAACCTATGTAGCACAGGACTGTAAATACACTGTAATGTTTGCCTTGAAATTGTTCAATTTAAATTTTTAAGAGCCTTATTTGGTATACCTTAATGTGCATCTAATCTTCTGCTAAACTGCAAGCCAGGCTGATCTCTATAGAATCCTCCTTATAGCTTTACTGCTTAAACTACTGGCTCAATTTAACTTACCTCAACATCCCTCTGGCTTATTTAACACTTACAGGCAAGATAACATCTATGTGATCTAAGATAATAACTGTTGCCCAATATATGAGTATATTGGGATTTGATAAAGCCTGATCAGAGACAAAACTATGAATCTTTGATGGAGATGTCCAGAAAGACCTCTGTTTCAACCCAGATTTATATAGATCTGATGTAGTTACTAGATCTTTTTAGGTAGCCTCCTTTCTTTCTGATACCCTTTGCCAATCATGTTGCAGAGCTTTCACCTTGGCCATAGATAAACTACTACTATGAACATTTCTAGGAGGATGATTCAACAGCATTCCTCTGTAGAGATGCCTTTGCTCCTGCCCATTTAGGCAAGTTATTGTTTGTCTGTCTATATATATTTGATTTTGAGGCTGCCCTGCTCCAAAAAGTCTCTGAGTGGCTTATCATATTTAAATTACTAATTTAAAACATGACTACTTGGGCACAACTGCATCAGTAACATTAACAAAAGATTCATCAGGGCCTCCACAAATACGCTAACCCCAGTCTGGGAGCAGAGGCAGGTCCTAAGAGACTTTTGGAACCTTTGGAGAGTGGGAGCTGAATGTATTTACTTTGCCCTTTTTATTCACTATGGCACAAAAACTTAAATGTTCCCTTCCTTGCCAATCTCTTGTGGAAGTCTTGTTGGAGTATTGCATAGTTTTGTGCAATTACTTGTTATAGTTTGTCCAAAGTTTGCATAATTACTGTACAATGCAGTTTTTTAAATTTGAGATACTTTTGGTAGAATCTTCACTGCTTTTATGTGTAGCCTTATCTTTTATGGTGTTTATGTTGGGTTATTTTTCAATTATTTTAATATTTTAGCAGATAGTACTTATTTTGGTATATCAGTAGCTTAATACTTAGTAATCTAGGATTGTATATATTTAAAAATTAAATAATTTTGTAATTGTCTAATTTTAGCTCTTTCTTAAAATTCTTGTATGGTAGTATTCCATGTTTATAGTATTTTAGCCCCTTTTTCTTACAATTCATAATAAAGGTTATAGTAGTTGTTACTATTCTGTACAGCATTTCAGTCAATGTGGGACATTGGTTAAGCAGTATAATTATGAAAGGAGTAAGGAAACTAATTAGTATTCATTTCGGGATTTTAGAATTTCAAAAACTTTGGAGGAGTGTTCCTGTGGATTCCATGGATGAAGAGAAGATAGAAGAATATCTGAAACGCCAGGGTATTTCTTCCATGCAAGACGTAGGCCCAAAGAAAATAGTAAGTAACTTTCTATAAGCCTTTTCTTTCATCAGAATTAATATACTTAATCCATATTAAATGGAGATATTTTAAGTATGCAAGAGGGAAAAATGAATGGATTGCTTAAGAGAATGCAATTACAAGGCAATAGACAGAATCCATTTTCCTGACAGTAAATGAGGCAGTTTTCTCCCTGTGTCTTTTGAGTTACCATGCCTCTCCTTGCTTTGAGTGGAGAAGGCTTCAGTTGTTGAATCCTTTATGTACCAATATTTGAATCCTTTATATACCAATCCCCCACCTCCTTAGAGAAGTGACTTGGTTCCTTTCTGCCTACTGCTGCTTGCTTTGGGCTGGATAGATTTCCAAGACAAACAGCAGCCGATGTTGACCCATGTGTGTACTGCCCCCAAGAGAGGAAAGAATGTTACATGTGTAGCTGGCCACCCAGAAATACAGTTTTGCATAGAGATTGGCCCTTCTTCCACTCTCCAGCATGAAGAAAATTCTCTAAATTTCATAGGGAGCAGAATTACAAATATCTTCAAACACTACCATATGGTTTCCTTAGCAAGCGCTCAATAAACTGTAGAATCTGGCCTCTGTGTATATTTCATACTGCATGCAGCTGCCGTGGCCTCTTGGAAAAATGAGAGATACAAGAGAAACTTGGGTCACAAAGTGGGGACATTTGCAGGAGTGCTTAACTGTCTCTTCACCCCCTCCCCCCAATTAATGTCTAAGCCCTAAACCTCGAAGCGAGAGCAACTGAGATTGCACATTTGTTGAGATAATATCTGGTCTGGCCTTCAGTCTTCAAGCATGAAAGTATACTAATCTTTTGGGATTGGAATGGGATGCAGTTGTAAGTTGTGTACAGATCTAATTCAGCCCTATTTCACAATAAAGACAAAGAGTTGGCTTCTCCCTTTTAAAAGATAAATAGAGACTCTGCTGCTTAGAAAGCCAGCTGAGTCCTTGGCAATCCAAGAGTTGTAAATTATGAACTAGGAAGAGTGGTCAAGGGAATGCTGTTCATTCTTCCTCTGATTTTTGTGCCTTTGCTCAGCACTACCCATTGGTTTTTGCATTTCTCTATAGCACTTAAAGCCAGTTTTTTTAAAAAATATATAATCCACTGACACTTTTTTTGCAAGAAAGAATCCATAACTATGATGTATGCTTACAGGCTAAGCATCTTGGTCCCTGTAACAGTGTAGGGCTTGCATATATCTTAGAAAGCTGAGCCCCAAAGGGATGTTAGTGTAGCTTAGTGTAGAATTGGATTTGTTTAATGAGAAGCATTGCAGTTCTGAAGGACACATTTACTTACTTATTTACTTGCTTACCTCATTTCTCTACCAAAATCTTTAGACCATTTTTGGGATGGGTTGGGATGGAAGGAGACGGTGGTTTAAGGGAGCAAAGTAAATGTCTTAAGCTTTGTAATTTAAGGTACTAATTTTGTCCCTTAATTTCCCTATGGAAAAATTCAGTTGGGTGAGGGAACTGTTCAGGATCTCCCTAGAGCATTTTTTTACTCATGCCCTCATGAGTAAAAGCCAAAACATTTAGCCACACTGCTCCAAGAAAGGTCTGGAGTTGCAAAAGGGATGTTGGGTGATTGCAAGTCAGTTCTGGATCGAACACATGTGTATTAGTGGATGGCTTACCTGTATAGCTGATTTATGTTTCACCTGTTCAAAAGGGGGTTATGTACAATCCCCTAAAGGCTCAGATAAGTTTATTTGTTTATTTCTGACATTTCTATGCTGTCTACTCCAAATAGAACAACAGTGGTACAGCAGGAGCCAAAATTAAAAAACAACAGGAGAAAGATTGAAATTATTACACGTATTTTTACATTTAATTTGGCTTTATGTCAAAATTTAATCTCTCCTTTTTTAGTAATAATGCCAGGGCAGTCAGATGATTATTATGTAGCCTTCCTATCAGTCAACAAGAACTTTCAGATCACTTACAATGGCACCATGTTTTGTTACCTAGCTTAAAGAATGTGACAGATGATGCATCTTGAACTTAAGTTGTCTCTGTGTGTTTGTTTTTCTTGCTGGCCTCTGGCCATAATCACATTTTGATTTGATTTGCACAGAATTAACAAAAAACAATATAAACCATAATTGGCACAGTCCAAAGAGGCAGACCCCAAACTTAACATCCCCTTCCAAGTGCTCTTTCCCTGAGCCAGGTTTTCACCTCTTGTGGCAGCTCATCATAGAAGTAGTGGTCTGTAAACACGAGAGCAAGTTATTCCACAGGTGGAGCACCACAGTTGAGAAGGCTGTACTATGGGATCCCTGCAGGTGAAAATCCTTAGGGGACAGAGCCCTCATGAATATGACTTATTTCTCCTTTTAGGTTCCTATCCAGAAGAGGAAGAAGCCAGCTTCTCAGAAGAAACGAAGGTTCAAAACTCACAATGACCATTTGGCCGGTGTTTTGAAGGATTATTCTGATGTAGTTCCTGGCAAATGAATTGGTCTTCTGAACTGAACTGTTACGAGTTTTGATGTGGATGCTTAGGACAGATGTCCTTTGTATAATCTGATGTGGTTCTTTCCTCTTCCACTTCAGCAGCAGATGAAAAGTTACAACTTTTGAGATCAAGAATAAACTGTTCATCATAACACTTATTTTACTGGTTAATATAAACTTGGATCAGAGCCATTCATTATCAGTAGACTTTTGATATTGGGGTGAAATATATTTAGCATGTAATGCTGAGGTTCATGTTCATCAGTTAAATTTTTTTTTAAATTCTTTGGAGTTCTGTGGGAACTTTATTCAGCTGGGGTTAACCTAGATAAAACTGAGTTCTTTATTGATGTCAAGAAAACATGTTTATAATAAAATCATTCAAGAAAGATGAAGCTTTTTTCATAGATATGTTTTCCTTGCTTATTGACTGAATAGCAGTAAAAGGCAATACTCCATTTAGATATAAATAGACAGACAGACAATATTTTAGGTTGTAGTTTAAGATGAGACCTTTATTTAGAAATGTAAACTCTTTCTTTTGTACTTAATTTTTTTTTCACCAAGTGATGTTTCTTGTATTATCCTGAAGATTCCATTTGAATTTTCAAGAGTATTTCAGTTGGTTGTTTCTGCAGGTACCAATACCATCAAGGGGTCATGCAGTATCTGCAAGATTGTGTAATTTGTGTTAACATTCCATTTGTGTCAGGAATCTTTGAGCTGAAATATACCCCCAAATAAATGATGAAACTCTTACAGGAAAACATAAAGGATTTGGAATGGTCTTCACAGTCCCTGGATATTGAAAATATGTGGGGAACTCTCAAAGTGCAGTGCACGCAAGGAACCCAATATTTCTGAGTTGGAAGAGTTCTGCAATGAAGAATGGGGGGAAATTCCAAAGGCAAGGCTAGAAAGACCCTTAGCTGGCTGTAGAAAATGTCTGCCAAAGGAGGTATTGCAAAGTACTGACTGAAAGAATGTCCAAATTTCTGCCCGTTATGTTCACTGTTTTCTTACTTTGAATCTGAAAACAACTGCACATAGCTGTCCATTCAAATTTGTAGAGCACTGTTGTGTTTAGCTTTGTATCGTGTAGAAATTTTGCCATCTTCCATTCACTTATGGATTCATTGAAATCTACAATTTGACCAAGGGTGCCTAAATTTTGCACACACCTGTATTTGTATTGTTTGTGATTTATTTTAGAATTAAAAAAAAAGAGAGACAAGCCTGCCTCTGCATATGTAGTGATAGTGTGACCTTCCCCCATATGACTGCTGGCAGTGATAAAGGAAAGAAAAGGGGATGAGTTGGGGGAAGTGAAGGTAAGAATATATTTCTTCCCAATTATTGGAATATATAATGGGGAATGGGATTTAGTATGAATAAATTATGTATGGCACCCTGTTCTAGAGAAAATAAAGATAATGAAACAAAACACTGGTGTTCTAGAAATGGTAGTTGATAATGATGCTGCTGTTATTAATCAGGTAGTAAGTGAGGACTGGCCATGAGCTTCTCAAATGTAAAGAGGAAATTTGTATTAAGCATGCATTCTCTTTTGGCTTTAAAGATTAAACTGGGCAAGGAAACAACGACAATGCTGCTTGAGCATAGATTGTCTACAGATAGCCTCACTTAAAGGCTTGGCTTCACAAATTGAGAGCATAATGTTTTAATCTGGTTAGTTTGGTGATAAAAATACAGATCTGTTGGATGTTGCTGAGCAAATTAGTAAGAGTAATTTAATTTCCTCTGCTAATTATAGTTTTATGAAGTAAAAGATGAAAAGAAAGAACTAGCAGGATTTTGCATGCTTGCCGGAGAGCACTGTCATAAAACAGTTTGTAATGCATTTGATCTATAATTCATCACAATCCTTCCAAGCTTTTAGAGAACAGAAAGAGAAAAGCATGTGAATTTGTAGAAACTGTGTAAGGAATGCCCATTTGGCTCTTCCTGTCACTTTCTGCAGGACTAGGCACTTGGTGGTAAGACACAAGGGAGAGACATGCTTTCAGTACTGATGATGGAAAAAGATTTGAAGGTAGCGATAATCACAGAGTGATAGTAGCGACATTGTTATTTCCAGTTTGAGACTCATGTTCAGGTAGTTGCAAATGTGTTGGCTTGAAACTTTTACTGTCCTACTGCTCAGAGACCAAAAGAAGCATATCCTTGACTTGGTTAAAATAGATATATTTCACCACCAAGTACTTTAGAATTCCTCTTCCTATTACAGAGCCAGGTGGAAGAGGCTTATAGCTTGTTTTCGGAATTCAGAAATAGGAAACTTCTATTGTTAACAATTACTATAATGCTTCAGTTATTTTCCTTTAAATATGGTTGATATGTATAAAAGAAAGGTTTATTCCAGCAGCAGCTGATCCCCAGCTTCTTCACCTGGCCAAGCTTCTATAAATTGTACTGAACTGAAAATGGTCTGAGAGCCTTGCAAATTAACCTACAAATGTTCCTAGCTTTTGCAAAGAAGAAAGCAAAGAAGCAAATAATCTGTATGGGGAATTGGAATAAGAACTCAGGATGAATCAGTTATATTTATGCTTTCTGATATACTGTACATATATACATATATTTCTTTCTATGCATAGGTGCCCTTTTTGTATCTTATAGCATCCTTAAGCATAGGATTTCATTTCTTTGCCAATCTGTGCCTGGTAATGACTAATTGGTAATAGAGTCCATGCCTTGAAAGGCAGGATTCAAGGATCTCTGCTGCCATGCCTCCTTATCTCTTCCCTAATAAATGCAGGGTTGGTTTGTTAGAACAACAGAGCCTTGGCTCAGTTCAATATCAAAACTACTATGGGTTCTTTCTAAGAATGCATCTGTAATGATTTCACACCATGAAGGATACCCATACGTGGTTATTTGATTCATTATCAGTTGTAAAGCAATTCCTGTATTTTGGATCTTCTGTTAGTGTATATGCATGATCAAGCTGTCTTTGATTAAAATTTTCTATAAGATCTATGTAACCTTGTGGCTCTTGCTCTTGACTTGTCTGAGTGCAAGAGATCAGTGACTCCCAAAAGTTGCTAGCTTTGAAACTAATAAACAATAGTTTGGATCCTCTCCAATTATTGATTTTGGGCCACGTTTTCTGCCACATTTTCTGGTATGGTCATCAGGATGGGATAATTCAGCATAGGGAGGGTGCTATAAGAGAGAGGCCCCTTTTCCATTGAGGATGGGACTCTGGAATGGCTCCCCAGCCCAGGACACTCCTATCTGAACGTCTCTGAACTTCCTAACTTGAGATGGTTGGGGTTTGTTTTTTGTTTTGTTTGGGTTTTCTTGTTTTCTGTTGATTTACTCTGTAGGAGTCAGTTGCAGGATTTGGGAGGAAAAGGTTGAGGACAAGCTCTGAGAGAGTGAACAGTGTGATTTGTGGACTCTATAGCTGTCATGAGTCTGAGAATTGGGTAGTGTTTAGGAGGTACCTGTGCCGACATTGGTGGCTGTTACTGAGATATGTACACCTTTTTTCCAATTTACTATTGGAGAGGGAAGTATAAATGAAAATAAGAACACTGGGTGGGGATTAGGTAGGAATATTAACATTGATTTTCACAGGTTCTGGTTGGCTCAAATGAGTACAAGTAAATAATCAGACACCATAGCATAGACCATACTTTTATTTTATTAATTGCTTTTATTTTTAGAAAATTATAATAGAAAAGTATCTTTTAACAACTTTTTTTCTTTTAAAAAAATTGACAAATTGGAAGCATTGTTTATATCAGTCACTGCCAGTAAAAGGCAGTAGAGGAAAATCAAGTTTTTTGTTGAACAGTCCAGCACAATCCTTTTTAGGGTTATTCAACCACCTACTGTTACATTTTAAATTCATTCAATTTATCCATATTGTTTGCTTAATAATGGCTATTTCTTAGTTCCAACCTGGGACTTTTCTGATGTGTTCAGAGTACAACTCCCAGGAGTAGCAGTTGCATCACATCCAGAGGAGGACATGCCGAGCAACCCTCTTGCAATTTTGCATTCTTAAAGCCTTTGACTTTTTGACGTATCATTTATATTTCTTACCAAAAAAATTGTATCTTATTCGCAGGACAAGTGACAATAATCCTGGCCAGAGGAGCTGCTTCATGAAGATTTGATCCTATTAACACTGTTGGCTTCCTTACCGAGCAAGCCAGTATAGCCAGACTTGTCACTACTGTAAAGGCTAAGGGGTCATCAGCTGGAGGGAGAAGATAGAGGAATTTCTGGCCTTGGCAGCTTTCCACAATTGGGGGAGGAATAATTTTACACTAATGATATAGGAACTCTTCTGCCCCAGGTAGCTGCATTCCTAGCTGCCCAAAGAACTAAAGGTGCAATCTTATGCACAATTACTCAGAAGCACGTCCTATTCTATTCAATGGGATGTACATCCATGTAAAGTGGGAACAGGAAGCAGATCAGAAAAACTTCAATCATTCAAGCTATTAGCTTCCAAAAGGTGCAGCCTTTGGGCACAGCTGAATTTAAGTGAGTCACCCCTGAGCTAAAGCTGAGCTGTGTGGGGGTTTCCTTCTCTACAACAGAAAGAAAGCAACACTTAAAAAAAACAACAATGTTCTAGAGTCCCATTATAGCCCTAGAGTCCTCCCAGACCAGGTAGTCATATGGCTGTAGCCATTATCTGGCTCTAGAGAGAAAACACTTCAAGAAAGTGGAAACTTTGAAGTAGCTGTTCCCTGCAAGGTTGTGCCTGAAATCATTCCCAGTACTGCTTTAAGCATCTGTTCCTAGATAAAAGCAGCTTTATTTGTTCTGCTCTTTTTTTTCAGAGCACAGACATACAGTAGGTGAAGCTGAATAGCTCTTTAAAAGTGGGCACCTGAAGATGCTCCCCAGCAGGGAGTTCAGGGCTTGAGGGCAGTTCTTTATGTGGGGCTGCTGCTACCTCAAAACCCATAAATTGGCCCCAATGCATAGATTTGGGATCTAATATGTATGCCTGCCACTGAGATTACCTGGGAAGGATCAAGCATAGCTGGCAAGCCATTACCCCAAAGGTGGCCATTTCATTAGAACTGTCTTCAGCAAAAACCTTTGGCATTTTTTATAGGCATGAGGTACTTCAGTTTTCTGGATCAGTGCTCCAGTCACCTCTTACCTTCCCCAAGAATATGAGTAACAACAAATAACCAGAATCAATTTGCTTTATACCTGGAGCAAAACCACAAAACTAAACTACCTATCAAAGATGTCAAAGACACACACACACACACACACACACACACAAAGTATAGGTTCTTACAAAAGTAGATGGTGTGGATGTTAGAGTACATACTTCCTGGGCAGCTTTGCCATCCAGGACGGGTTCTCACAAATAACTGTTGTTGTTTTTTTCCCTTTCCCAAATAATATACACAACTGCATGAGATGTTTGTCTGAAGAGAAGTGGTATACAGACACAGTTGCAGCAATTTCCCTAATTATGGCTGCACCTTTTCAATTATAATAGAAATGGGTGTAGCTTTTTCTGGGCCTTTCTACTTTCTATTGTGCACTACTACTTATTCCCACGCAATTGCGTATCCAAATATGGAGAAGAAAAAAATACAGCAGGAACTAGCGATCAGGCACCGCTAATGTACAGCGCATCAACTGTAACATTTTACAGTCATGAAAAAGCTATTATATTTCTGATTGTCTTGCTCAATATAATTTGGCACAATTAGGTGAAACATGAAAACATGTACCACAGGAATACACTTCATATATTAAAAACACACCATCTCAGGCTCCCAGACAGGATAACCAAAATGTCTGTGCATTTCAAACAATACATTTTTTTAAAAATCTGAACCGGATTTAAAAACATGCTTTGAACATGCATCTTAAAAGGGTAGGAAAAGGAGATTACACATATTTAAAAGTCAAACATATGATCAGTTATCCCACCCAAGGTAAAATCCTCTTTCTTACAATGCTTGGTATAAAAAAATACTTGGTTCTCTTTGCTGCTCTGCTTGAAAATATTTTTTTCAAACCAGAAATTCACTCATGCTTATAGAATTTAAACTCTTAAGCTTTTATACAATGTAGAAGAGGAACATCATATTATTATTATCATCATCATCATCATCATTATTATTATTCAATGCTTTCTATTTTATTTTTAAGAAGATGTGTGATAGAGGCTGTGGCAAAGTCTTGAAGGAATCCACGCTCGTGTGAGGTTTTTTAAGCCTGTAAGAAACAGAAGACATGCTTATGAGGAAACACCACCACCACCAAACTTCTCAAATGGCCAGAAAGGCGGGAACAGCCTTCCCAAACCTGGAGGCCTTTTGGTGTGGCAGGAGATTCAGAGAGTTGCAATTACAACCTAGTTGGAGGGTGCCAAAATAGGAAAGGCTAGAGAAGGCTAATCATGCTAAGGAGCTGGGTATTGGATGGAGGCAAGGAGATGGTGTACACTTCCATGTTAAACGGCTGGAGTACTTTAAAGGTGCCATGAAAATGCAGCAAATGAACCCACAGTCTAGGGCTATAATGTGTAAGGCTTTAATATGTAAAGGTACAATAATGTAAGAAAATAGTAAGAATCTTGATCTGTTCTCCACACAAGTCCTAAAACTAGATAAAGAGAATCTAAATAAACAAATGAGTCAAAAAACATTATACTTGTTCGTTTATTTATGGAGGAAAATGATCCAAAGCTACATATTTGTGTGTGGCAAAACCCTGTGAATCTTTGCTTTCAGTAACTGGTGTGCCGCCCTTGGCAGCCACAACTGCAACTAAACATTTCCAATAACCATTGATCAATCCTACACATCAGCTTGGAGAAATTTTAGCCCATTCCTCCTTACAGAACAGCTCAGGGATGTTGGTGGGCTTCCTCGCACGAACCACCCGCTTCAGGTCCTTCCACAACATTTTTATAGGATTAAGGTCAGGACTTTAACCTGGCCACTCCAAAATATTAACTTTCTTCTGCTTTAACCATTCTTTGGTCATACAATTTGTATGTTTTGGGTCACTGTCTTGCTGCATGACCCACTTTCTCTTGAGCTTCAGTTCACAGATACCGTGACATTTTCCTGTAGAATTTGCTGGTACAATTCCGAATTCATAGTTTAATCAATGATGGCAAGCCGTCCTGGTCCAGAGGCAGCAAAGTAGGCCCAAACCATGATACTGCCACCACGTTTCACAGATGGGATAAGGTTCTTATACTGGAATGCAGTGTTTGCCTTTTGCCAAACGGAACGCTTTTCATTCAAGCCAAAAAGTTCTATTTTGCCCTTATCAGTCCACAGAATATTCTTCCAATAGAACACTTATCCACATGATTTTTCACAAACTGTAGATGGGTAACAATGTTCTTTTTGGAGAGTGGTAGCTTTCTCCTTGCGTTCCTGCCATGCACACCACTGTCGTTCAGTGTTCTCCTGATGGTGGTCTCATCATCACTGACACTGGCCAATGCAAGAGAGGCCTTTAGTTCCTTAGATGTTACCCTGGAGGTCTTTGAGACACCCAGAGTATTACAAGCCTTGCTCTTGGTGTGATCTTGGCTGGGGAGGGTAACAATGGTGCTGAATTGCCTCCATTTGTACAAGATCTGCCTAACAATGGACTAGTGGAATCCAAACTCTTTGAAAATAGTTTTGTAACCTTTTCCAGCCTGGTGAGCATCAACAACTATTTTCATGCCAATGTTGTGATGATTAGACTTCGATAGTAATACCCAGAATTCTGTTCTTTAAATAAGGCAGGACCTTCCACACTCACACCTGATTATCATCCCATTGAAACATCTGACTCAAATTTCCCCTTCAAATGAACTGATAATCCTAGAGGTTCACATATTTTTGCCAACACAAATATGTAGCTTTGGATCATTTTCCTCAATAAATCAATGAACAAGTGACTTCCAGGCAATTAATGATGGATTGAAGACGGCTCTGTTTTTGCAGAGCTGATAGCCACGACAATTAAGATGATCTGACGAAGGATCTGGCTCTTCGGAACCATCTCCAGATAGATGATTGGATCTCCCTCAAGTACTCCTTACGGAAGCTCCCCATGAAGAGACTGCAAATTAGTGATCTCCAGCGAGCTGAATGCTCTGGGAGTCGTAGGAAACATTGAGCCTTCAAAAGGACACTACATTTGTGTACACTTCCTCTTTTAATTGACAAATGAATCTACCTATGAACTTATTTGGAATTAAAAACTTTCTGAAGGGCAAGTTGCTGCATACTGGGAGAATTTCCCTCTATCCCTGAAGAAAGAAAATTTAAGTTTAAAGATTAAAAGGAAAAAAAAATTTTGAAACAGCAAAACAGAGTTTAGAATGTTCATTATGGACAGTTAAGGGGCCATATGGATTTGAAAGAATAGTTTTTATAGATTCTTTTACATTTTATAAAAATTTAAAAGCTGATGATTTGGGAATTAATTGTAAGAAACCTTTCTGTGGGAAAGTTTTGACTCTGAAAAGAAACAAAAGATAAGACTGGGCTTTGAAGGTTAACT